TAGTGTTCTCTAAACTTGAAGTGGTTGCCAATAATTGAAAGTTCAGATTTCTAATTTCTCAGAAAAAAAAACAAAACAACAAAACAAAAAACCAGAGTGGAACACCAGACCCCACCAACCCAAATTCCTACATAGCAGGGGTTTACTGGATTCTCAATGCCATTTTTCCTCTCATAATCTAGCCCAGTGCCCCTTGCTCCTGTTTCCTGTGTGGCTCCTGTATAGGCGTAGGGTTTGTGTCCCCTGACCCACAAAAGCTTGTGACGACCTTGGCAACTTTCTGATCAGCGTCAGCTGCAAGCCTAGCCCTGAGAAGTGGCAGACAGCCACAAAAGCATATTCAGCCTTGGCCAGGAGTGTGAGACCCCAGTTTGCAGGGCTTTGGGTTGCTTTACAGAAGCTCTTACTTTGCAAAGATGATTCATTCAGTCTCTAAAGCCTCTGGGGTGGTGGTATTGGGGGTGGGGGAGCATCAGGCTCCAGTCAAGGTCAAAGGTAAATCATGTCTGGCATGGGCAGGAAGTCAGGAAGGAAGTCAGCTTTCCCAGCCGTGGTGGTCAGACAGCTCCTAATCAGGCCGTATTAAGCCTAGCACTGTTAGGAGGAGGGGAGAGATGCGTGAAGATTGGGTCAGATGGAGGTGGATTCTACCACTTTCTGCCCAGAGTTGCAGAACCACAGGGTTGGGAGACAGAGAAGTCAGAGGCAGCAGAAGCGGAACAGAAGCAGAAAGCTAGGAAGGACTGACAGGTCTGGCCTCGGGCACCAGCAGCTGGTGTACGTGTAATGCCCGTGAGATGAGAGTAGCTAGGACCAGTCTCTAGGAGCGACTCTGGGCATCCCCCCAACCCCCGGAGCTCAGGATCCTCAAATAACAGGGACAACCACCTGTACACACTCCAAGCTTGCAAGTATGTCTGATACACACAGATAGACACACAGACACACAGACATACACACGCACACACAGGCACGCACGCATGAGCACACACACATGAGCACACACACAGAGTCATCAGCCCAGAAATCTGAGCCATAAGCAAACTCACATAAACACTCTCGGTCTGCAGTGGCACACATCCACAGGTGTTCCTCCATACACGCCATCACAGTGGTTTTCGGTGAGAGCCGTCAGCTCATCATACAGAGATATTTCACAAACACTGTCAGAGCACCGGAAGTCCTTTTGGCAGCTAGCGTGGCTCCCCGTGAGAGTCTAGCACAGTAACCAGTAGCATGGGAGAGAAGTGAGCCTTGCGCTACAGGCACAGCTGAGTGCCAGCCTGCAGTGCCACCTACTGTCAAGAGAGTTTTCTGCACCTTGCCCTAAGGATAGAACTCAGGACACTGTCTCAGATACCCTTTCCAGCGAAGCTGCCAGCCAGGGGGCCAAGGAGTCCCCGTCCTCATCCTTGTCCTCCTCCATCTCCTTCTCAGACTCTGCTGAAGATAGGTGAGAAGCTGGCCTCCTTGGGGCAACACCACAGCATCAGAGAAGAAACTCGAAAGGCTGCATACCTGCTGGAAATCGATGGTCCTCAAGGGCAGCTAGTAAAACAGGTTTCATCTTTCCTGCCACCTCCAGCTGGGACAGGCTGCCTGCAATGCTGCATGAAGACTCTGAGGTCAAGTCTGGGCTTTGTAAAGGGGGCCGTCATGACACGGACGGTGGCAGTAGGTGGGACAGCTTGCCATGGCTGTAGCGGACTCTGGAACCTTCCATTGTGAGGATGGCTTTGTTGTTCCAGCGCTGCCCCCTATTAGCTGGGTGACTTAGCGCAAGTTACGGTAGTCTCTTGAACCAGTGTGGGTGCGACACCTCAAGAGAGCAGACACAGGCCACAGGGCTGGTACATCTTCAGGCAGGCTGGATCACAGAAAGATGCGTTCCCGGTGGAGGAGCGAGGGCAGCTGAGGTTCTCAAGGGCACCCAGACGCTTGGGGCAGAGCTATTTACCACATGTTTTGGGGGCGGGGATTTGACAGTGTCTGATCATCCCTTTGACTGTATGACACACATCAACTGAGCAGAGGTGTAACGTCAAGTCTGTTTTGGATTTGAACTTCTTGCTAGCTTCTACTTTCTTTCTAACATATCTTGCTATAGTCCCACGAAGGTAGTTGGGCCATCACATAGGGAGGGGTTTGCTTTTCTCTTTTTGTGATGGCATCTTATGTAGGCCAGACTGGCCTTGGACTGGCTACGTAGCTGAGGATGCTGACCTTCTGAGTGTTCCTGCCTTCACCTCTCCAGTGTTGGGATTATAGGTCCGGGCCATCATACCTAGCTTATGCAGGGCTGTGAGTTGAATCCAGGCTTTTGTGTTCAGGAGGCAAACCCTCAGATGTCCAACTACATCTCTCTCCCCCGAAGGGAGTTCTGTGGTAATCTTAGCAGACTCCATGCATAACAAACAGAGCTACTGTTCTGCTGAGTGGCGGTTCCACTGGGCCTGGGACTCTGTTGGCAAGCACTTCCTCAGAAGAGTGTTCTGCCAGACCCAGGAATGTGGTACTTTGAGCTAAAGGGGTCCAGTGTTCTGGGTTCCTCCGCCCCAGTGGTGCAGTCTAAGGCTGGGCCTGAGGCCTTGGTGCTCAGTCAGTTTTTAAATCTCCTGGCAACAGAATAAACAATGCTTCATGCTGCCAGGCTCCTCTTCAGCCCTTGAGACCAGAAGGAAGACTGTCTGGCTGCAGCCAGAGCCTGCCCCCAGGACTTCTGGCCTGTTATTCCAGCTCCAAAAGCTTTTGTCCAGGCTTGAGATGCTCGTTTGTGGCTTCGGTAATAAAATTTGGACCTTTCTGCACTGTCCAGGGATGTCTGTATCTATTAATGGTGGCTCCAGTGAAATCCACAGCTCTTTACTGCACCTTATCGTCTTGCTTCTGGTGTTGTACCATTCCTGTTTCCTAGGAAACCTGGGAGGGTTTTCCGTGTTCATGACAAGGTCCTGGGCACCAGACCTTACGCATCCCAGAGTACAAATTCGGCAACACCTGGTGCTGTGTTCATGGCACACAAGTCTTTTCTGACTGCCTAAGGACACTGTCTGCGCTCTGCACATCTTACAAGCTTCTTGTCACCACTGACTGTGAGCCTCAGGGGGGACCCTTCAAGGGGCTACCGTGCGATCCAGTGAGGATGAGGAGCACCCTGAGCTGGGCTTACCCTCTCACCCCCTTTTCGTTTCTTGGCAGCTATTCTTAGGTCACACAGCATCTCTGGCCAGCGTGTAGAACCATCATGGAGGAAGCCTCTTACAGACTCTGTTCTACCACCAGGCACCCTCTGCTGGCCAGAAGGGCCCTGGCTACAACGATGAAAATGACCCTGTGCAACGACGCCTTCACCTCATGCCCTTCTGGGTGCCATAATGCCGGTGGCTCCGTAAAGCGGCTGTGGCTGGTGTCTACCTCCAGTTCATCTTTGCCTTCCAGGAACAGCATGCCATAGATACAGACATACAAGACCCACCCATTGTTTCTCTTCTGGCCCAAGCTGGAGCTCATTTCCTGGAGCTCCTGGGTCTTCTTTTCCTTCCTTCCTGCAGCTCTCACCCCGAGACACACCATCCAGAACACGTACTCATTTAGATCCTGAGTCAAATGCCCAGAAGGACAGATGTCAGAGTCCCTGGTTGCCATTCACTCCACCTCCAGGCTCTCTGACGACAGTTCTAGGTTTCCTCATTGCTGAAATCCCCTCGAGAGCCAGGCAATAAGTACACACAGAAGCGCCTGCTTGCCCCTTCTTGTCTTCGCAGAGGACCAACCATCCCCTCTTCCACCCTTCCTCTGAGTGCCAGGGCTGCTTAGCAAAGAACAAGGACCGTCACTCGTCATGTAGAGAAGAAAGGGCTGAGGGATTCGTGCAAAGACGTAGTTCCTCCCAGGGAGGTCAGCTCATCCCAGAATCCTTTGCACAGCACTCCAGTGATAGCTCATCACCTCCGGGGTAGCTCTGACTGGCTTTTACTCACTATCCCCAGCAGGTTCGTGCTGGTGCATGTTCACCTCTCTAAGCCATCCCTTCCTTAGCATCTTCAGTCTCAGGTCAGACCTGATGCTTCCCACGTTCTCGCTGCAGCACCCTGCCCTCAGGCTCAGCCTAGACAACTTCTCACTTTAGGGCCTATGCTTTCTTCAAATTTGGGGCTAGAGTTCTCTTTCTCTGCTGGGAGAACGTCCTTATAGCATGACAGGTGGAAGTGATTGGCAGAACCAGGGCTGAGGTGAGGGGGTTGGCAGGCAGAGCTTTGTCTAAAAGCTGAAGGCAAAGGAAACCCAGCATTGGTAAGCCAGCTACTAAAGCCCTCTCCCAGGGGAGCCTGAGGTGCCCCTGTTGGCTAGAGGGGAGTTTGCGCGGGAGCTGCATAACTCCCTCACCTCTTCCCTCAAACCTTCCTGGTAGCAGCTAGCTGACTGTTCATGGCTCAGGTAGCAAATCACGGGATCAACAGGTCGCCTTGTACAGCGGTTCCCAAACACGGGAAGCTAGGGCTAGAGCTGCTGTGCAGCCCTGTGCTTATTTCCCACTTGGCGGCCCCCAGGGCTGAGGGGTGAAAAGCTGGAACCTAGCCGGTGTCCTGGCTCAGGCCAGAGAAAGGGCCATCATTTTTGTTAATTCATTCACTTAGCGTAATCTACATGGGTGCCACAGGTGCTAGCAGCCCGGCCCAGAATGGTCAATGTAGTGCATAATCTTAGAAAAGCAAGCTTCTTTGGCTAAAGAAGAGCTTTGAAAACCATCTAAAAGATGGGGGGCGGGGTTTAAACCAAGGCTTGTGAAAAAGAGGGACTTGAGTTGTGCGGTCCGTGCCAGGTCTTCTTTACATGTCAAATCTCCTCTTCTTCATCTAGCGTTCTTTGTACTACTACATGAGATGGTTTTCCTCTCAAGCCCTGTACTGCTCTTAGTTCCCCCCCCCCCCCCCCCCCCCCCCCCGCCCCCCCCCCCCCCCAATCTCTCCCCGAAGGCCACACTGCCCTGCAGAGCCATGCTTTCTCAGCCAGGATCATGGCAGTGTTTGTCCAGGAGCGATTGTGAGAATGCCAGCCCTGCCTTCCTAACTTTCTAAGAGTACCTGGCTCAGAGGGATGAGAGTAACATGCAGGAAGGTGGACGGTGAGGAGCCAGAATGGACCCACTTCCGGCCTCCCCAGACGAGGCCCGGAAGTGTGACAGGGAGCCCGGAACAGGGCGGCTCAGCTACTGTGTGGGCCCAGGGCCTGCTTTGCAGCGGCAGCCCGCCGAGGAGTCTGGGCCACACCGTAAGGCACATGGGCAGCCACTGTGCCCATCTCCTGAGCCCCAGCCACATGGAACATCTGGTCATCGAAGAAGATGTGCGGGCGGATCTTCTCAAGAAGGGGGCCCTTTGGTGCCCCTGCTAGGAATAAGGCCTCATCCGTCTCCAGGCCCCAGCTGCGCAGGGTCTTGAGGGCCCGGGCCCCAGAACTGGCCGCACTGCGCGCTGTCACCAAATAAGTGCGAATTGGGCACTCCAGCCGCAGGCCTTTGGAGTAGAATTTCTTCTGCAGTCTACCCAGTGCTTCCAGAAAGCCCTTTAGGGGGCCCTGCAGAGAAAAGGGGGTACTATTAGCTCACCTCTCCTAAACATTTTCCCTTTCATCCTAAAGCACCAGTGATTGACTGTCGGGGCGGGAAATCCCTAAATCCTTTGGTAGTTTTGCTCTGCCTGCTCAGGCTCCTGTGTGGTACCTATAGTCTGGAGTCTGTCTTAATGTGGTTGGGGCCCCGTCAGAATAATCATAACCAGAGCAACAGTTGCTACGAATATCCATTCATGTCTCCTGCCACGATCTATCCTGCAGCTCTGTAAGTGTGCTCATCTGTGCCCATCAGCAAAGAAGGAGTTAAAACTAGCTAGCAATGGGCACCTGCCAATCAGAACAGACTCTTTTGTCTGTCTGTGAACATCTGAGCCAGATGGGCCAGTGTGTAGCCACTGCATATGAGCCTGCCTGTGGACAGACACATAGGTGGTTCATGGTGTTGGGCCCAAGCTCTCTGAGGTCAGGGAAGTGCCCACATCAGTCAGGCTACCAAGGGTATGTGAACAAAGAACTCGACAATGTAGAATGCAGCTCATCTTCAAGGTGATTGGAAGCAAGGAGAGTGGGCTGCAAATCTTGGGGATTTACCTAGCTGCGTCACCTGGAGTAAGCGGTGTTCCTCTGGGTCTCTATGAACCACTTACTGGGAAGAGTGTCCTGCCTTGGGCATCTAGGTTTCTGTAAAAGCTCCAACTGAAGTTGCCAGTAGGGCTGGAGAATCCCATTGCTCCACCCACAGGGAATTTCCACCAAGCTCCAAGACTTGTTCTGTTCTCAGAGAGAGCCATTGAGAAATACAGGAGCAGGTTTCCTGAGCCACTATTTCAAGGCATGGAGAGCTGGCCCAAGGGAACCCACAGCACACTGGCGAAGCAGGGAGCTCTTCTCTCCCAGTGAAAGAAAACAGGGGCTTCCAGAGGGACAGGCACTTACTCAGAAAGAACTCTCAAGAGAGGAGCTGAGGGTTCCAGGGATAGGATGGTGGATTCAGAGGGTGTGTGTGTGAGTGAGTGAGTGTGTGTGTGTGTGTGTGTGTGTGTGTGTCAGATTTTGGGGGAGGGGTAGTAACTTCAGAGAGGGTTGAAGACTCAGAATAGGGGTGGGGGGGTGGGGTCCTCTGAGAGGTGATGGAGGCCTTAGAAAGGGGTTTGGAGAAACAGAGCAGGATGGCAGGGGAGGCTTCAGAGAGCTTCCTGAGAGATGCTTTGAGAGATGCTGGAGGCACCAAGACTTGGGGAATGGCACTTGAGTGAGGAGGTGGGACCCAGTGAAGGGGTGGATTCTCAGTGAAAGGAGTCAGGGGTAAGTGAGAGAGCTGAGGTTTAGAACAAGCAGATCTCTGGGTTCAAGGCCAGCTTGGTCTGCAAAGCAAGTTCCAGGACAGCCAGGGCTATACAGACAAACTCTTAACTTGAGAAATGAGAGAGAGAGAGGAGGCTTGAGTCTTGGTAAGAGGGTCTGGTGGGAATGTGGGCTTACTCAGGAGTTCAGGACAGGACGGGTTCTGGGGAATGAGGGATTACTCAGGGGTTCTGGGAATGCGGAGCACCTGTGCCAAAGGTTTGTTCTCATGGGCCTTCTCATGCTCGAAGAATCTGTCCAGCCCATGGGCCTTGACGATGCGCTCTGACTCATCGGAGAAGAGTACGGCGTCCCCATCGAAGGCCACGCGGAGCTGGCTCTGGGACACAACCACGTCCCTGCTGGGGCTGAAGATGGTGGCGGCTGCAATCCCTGGTCAGAGAGAGGTGAATGTTGTCTGTGTGCAGGCACAAGAGATGGCATCTCATGCTGTTCTTATTCCAGCAGCTTCTGGGACTGGTTCTACCAGAACCAAAGGCAAGCCTACCAAGGACCCATCTCGAACACATTTAAACACTGATAGTCCATGGATCACAGGCAGCAGCTAGAGCTTTGAGGCAGCACTGTGAGCTCCCCATCATGTCTAAAGGCTACCTCATCGATATCATCTCTGGAGGCGTGCTGGGCAGGTCCCTGAAGAGCTCTTTATCAGCCAGCATGAAGCAATCCAAATCCTTTAACACTGCAGATCACGCTGGTGTGAATCATCTAAACAACAGCCTTGGCTGGAAGCACAGGCCTCCTGGGTCACTGCTCTGTTTGGAGTTCCTCACCCTACGTGGCCGCCCCAGGTAGGGAAGCGCCCCTTAAGGCGCGGTCACTCCCTTACAGGTGATTCCAAGTTACATAGCTTCTCTCAGGCTGCAGCAGGGATGGGTGGGTGCACAGCCTGTCTACAGCCACCGAGCACGCGGGCACACTGAAGCCACTGCAGTTCAGGCTGTGAGATAATGTGCTTGGTCACGGGAGGCAGCATGAGCTACATGTGATAATGTATATGGAGGTCCGAAACCAGAGTTCCCCTGGGATGTAAGGTTGCCCCGCCCACCCCCAACCAGGGCTCCGGGTTGAATGTGGAGTCTTCATCTCTCCAAAGGCCACTCCGACCTTGCCCAGAGCTAGCAGTACGGGTCTTACAGTAGCTTCACTAGCCTGAGGACACCCAGAGCAGGACCAGGTCCCGAGGATCACCCTACACATGTACCTTCTCAGCTCTGTCAACCTAATGCCAAGATGACCCAAAGACCCCCTACCCTGATCAGGACATCCACCCAACCACTGTGTCCCTAGACCAAAGGTCAAAGTCCAAATGCGCAGAGGCACACCTACATGTTCGCTAGTCCCCAGACCTCAACCCAAGGGTGTGATGTGTCTAGAGAAACACTCTCTGGGTCCTGGTTAAAGAAACCCTCACAAACAAAGGGACAACAGGGAAGGGAAAAGAGGGCAGTTGACGGAGGAGCCCTGAGTGTTCAGCCTGAGTACACTTCCAGGCAAATGGGCTCTTTCCTCCTCTGTGCACTCCTGTTGGCAGGACTGAGACTACGGCTGTCACCCGAAACTGCCCCTTGAACGGAGCACATGGAATGGGCTACTCATTATTAGTACTTACTTCTGAGTCCCCTAATCTCATCGTGGCACTGGACAGCCCAGATGTGGAGATGACCATTTTTGAAAGTCTACCACTCAGGTTGGGCTAAATCTGGATCTCTTTCTCATTGGCACAGGGATAGGTAGAAGCTTTCTGGCCACATGGGATTCAGAACTCCCATCAGCCCAGAGGAATCTTAGAAAGCAGTAGCTTTCGGGGTTGGAAGGAAAGTTCCCATGGAAACAGAAGGCTAGGTGATGCTGATGAATATACATGGCAGGAGAAGGGGAAGAGGATCATCAGGTAGGGCTTTGTTTTTACTTTACAAGACAGATCATGGGAACAGATGCACGGTTCCCCTTGCAGTTACCTTGGTAACCCCCGAGCCTGTTCAGAGCTTTGGGACCAGGCTTCTCACCACTGGGACCTCTTTATGCGTGGGGAAGCATCCCCATATCCTCCCTTCTCAACCTGACTTACCCTCATCAATGGCTTCTCGAACTTTTTCTGCATCAGCCGACAAGTAGAGGTTGGTGTGATAGGCTTTGAGGTAGCAGATGGGGCTGTTCCCTCCTGTCATGCAGAATCGCTCAATGAACAGGTCTGTGGAGGCAGAGAGGCCCATATGAGGCCAGGGTCAAACTTCACTCCCCATAACAGTTTCTCTGTGCCTGAGTGGTGAGGCAGCAGAGCGACTCTGCTTCAGCCTAGCATCCCTGCTCCAAGCCTCTCCACTCTTCTTCAAGGAAATAGTAAGACACCTGGCTCATGGCATCCCCACCTAGTCAGGGAATCATGGAGCCTCAAAAGATGGACTGGAAGACTCTATCTGCCTGGTGGTTGCTGATTGGATAGGGGTAGGCTCTAGGCCCAGCTGAGCCAATCAGAGTCCAACCTGGATAACGCTCTCATAACTGCAAAAGCTGTGAAATGGTTGCTGGAGGACAAGTGGCTGCTATCCTCAGCCCACTGATTTACCATCACTACCCAAGTTTCTTATACAGGACAGCTGTTCTCCTCACAGTCCACAATAGAGGTTAATAGCTGACCCCACAGGGGTCCTCCAGGGTCCTGCCCAAGAATGGAGTGCTATCTCTTCTGGTTGCTCAGCACCTCTCACACTCAAGTGACTTGAAATCAGTGTTTAAAATGCCAGCTGGAGACTAAGGGTGTAGCTCAGTGGCTGAGCACACACCTAGCCTACATAGGCCCTGGTTGCATTCCCCTCAGAACCCAAGGTAAATATATACATCTTTAAAGTAGTGAATGGGAGCTGGAGGGATGGTTCAGTGGTTAAGAGCTCTTGCTGCTCTTCCAGAGGACCCGGGTTCAGTTCCCAGTAACCCACACGGCAGCTCACAACTCCCTGTTACTCAAACTCCAAGGAATCCAATGTGTCTTCTGACTTTCAAAGGTGCCCTGACACAGATGGTATGGCTTACACACGCACACAAGTTTAATCTTTTTTGTTTTGTTTCACAGAGGTGGTGAAACCAGGTATAGTACCTGAATCCCCAGCACTCAGGAGGCAGGAGCGAATAGTGGCACATGTTCACAGTGTCTGAAAGTCCAACCCTGGGAAAATTAGGACAAGAGGTTCTCAAGTCCAAAGTCAGTCTGCACTACGAAATAAGATCCAGTATCAAAATTAGTAAATTAAGTAAATTAAAATAAGATAAACACATTAACTGGGTTGTTGGCTACTTGAAATAAGATCTTGTAAAGCTGTCAATATAGGTGGGTTGGTGTTGGGGGTTTCTCCTATTTTTAAAAATGACTTATTTATTTTTACTTTATGTGCATTGGTGATTTGCTTGCTTGTATGTTTGTGTGAGGGTGTCAGACTCCCTGGAACTGGAGTTACAAGCCAAGTCCTCTGAAAGACCAGCCAGTCTTCTGAACCACTGATTCATCTCTCCAGCCCCTGTTTTCCCCCTTTGAAAAAACGTTACGTTTGCGTGTTTTGCCTGCGTGTGTGTCTACGCACTGTGTGCACACGTGGTGCCTGTGGAAGCCAGAAGATGGCCTGGAGCTGTTCGGATTTCCTGGAACTATAGTCACAGATGATAACAAAGGAAAAAGCTTGATAAAGAGTCACAAGGGCCCTGTGGCCCGGGGAAAACACAAGCCCAAGAGAGATCGCCAAGACTTGAATGTTGGCCTTTCTAGGTCCAATTTTCCTTCCTTCCTGGTGGTTCTGGCAATGTACTCCTTTCACTGGAAGCTTTCAACCAAAAAGAGCTTGTCCAAAAAGAGAAGTGTCCTTTCAGGGCTGGAGAGATGGCTCAGGGGTTAAGAGCACTGTCTGCTCTTCTAGAGGACTCAGGTTCAATTCCCAGCATCCACCTGGCAGCTCATGACTGTCTGTAACTCTAGTTCCAGGGGATCTGACACTCTCACTCAGACATACATGCAGGTAAAATACCAATGCACATAATAAAAATAAATAAATCATTAAGAGAGAGAGGGAGAAGTGCCCTTTCACTATGAACTGCCCCTCATTCTCTTATTAGCCTTGTGAGGCTTGGTTAGTTTCCTACAGGTAGCAAAACTGGGGCCGTGAGGCAGTAAACACAGGGAGTCGGGCCTGTCCAGTGTGGGCTGCAGCTGGCTTGTGCCAGTTTTTAAGAGTTAGTTATTAAATATTCAGGAATTTTATGAGCCAGTTATGTTGATCAACCACGGGTGGCCGGAAATCAGTTCTACTCCTAGAACTGGTAGCATTTCAAATTCATTTCGTTTTTGTTTTTACAGGTTTTTGTTGGTGTTTGTTTTTCTAGACAAGGTTTCTTTTTGTGTGGCTCTTGGTTCTCCTGGAACTCACTTTATCAACCAAGCTTGCCTCCAACTCAGAGGTCCACCTACCTCCGCCTCCAGAGTGCTGGCATCCCAGGTGTGATGCCCATCACCACACACAGCATTACAATCTTGTATTATTCTATCTATCTATCTATCTATCTATCTATCTATCTATCTATCTATCTATCTATTTATTTATTTATTTATTTTGAGGCAGGGTCACATGTATCTGAAGATGTGCTTGAACTGCTGATCCTTCTGTCTCTACTTCACTGACTCCACAAGGGCTGGGATTACAGGTTTGTATGCCACTGTGTTGTTTTGTTTTGTTTGTTTTGTTGTTGTTTGGTTTTTCTCTGTAGCCCTGGCTGTCCTGGAACTCCCTTTGTAGACCAGGCTGACCTCATCGATCAGCCTGCCTCTGTCTCCCAGTGCTGAGATTAAAGGCGTGAGCCAGCACCACCACCTGGCTTGTTTGGTTTTTAATACCAGGGCTTCGTGCATGGCGGAAAAGCTCTCTACCAATTAAGCCACACCCCCAACTCCTTGTTTGTTTGTTTGTTTGTTTGTTTGTTTTGAAACAGGAGCTCATGTATCTCAGGCTGGCCTTGAACTCACTATGTAGCACAGGAAGACTTGGAATTCCTGTCCCATCTCCCAACTGTAGGTATTACACGCATGTACTAACCTAGTTTTCGTGCAGTGTTGGAGAGTGAACCCAGGGCTCTCTGCCTGCCAGGAGAGCGCTCCATCAGCTGGACTGCAGCCCCAGCCTTATTTGTTGGAAAAGACCAGGTTAAAAGTACAGTACAATGGAATACCAGGTTGGCAGCACATCACTGGGTTTAGGATGGCAGTACAGCTGGACCATCTGACCAGTGTGACCCTGCAGAGGCGTGGCCTCCCACAGGGAGTGTGTGTGGCAGGGACATCCCATGGCCACCAGCCTCATGCTTACCATAATGATTGATACTGTTGATGAGACGAACTCCTACTTGAGCGTGGTTGTTGGTCATGAGGACAATGTCAAAGATGTCTTCACTATCGGGGTACAGCTCCCGAAGTCGCCTGTTCACAGCCTCCAGGGCCTGGAAGGGAGAGTGCAAACTCCAGTTCAGAGTTCCAGGGATTGACAGGTGGAGCTGGTGGCCAGGGATCCAGTGAGAAAGGAGAGGGGAGGGAGGCCAGGGCCTGGCTTGGTTTGGAATGAGATCTGTGCACACCGCCACCTTCTAAAGCCATTTTCCACCATCACTTGGCTTGTTCACTGCTCATTACAAGTGGATAGAGGGGGATAGCTTTCAAGCTAGTTACCATCCTGGGGCTTCATCAGTCCTAGGGGAGGGTAGCCTCTTCCCACAAAGGCTCAGTCCTCTAGTTATGGCGCTGCTTCTGCCAGGCAGAGCTTCTTACAAAGGCACCTGTGTGAGCTACTTCCAGAATTGGCCCCTCACCTTCACAAAGGGGAAGGCAGGCCCGGGGCTGAAGGGCTCGTTCTCGTGCTCCAGCTGGTAGCGGACGTACTCCTCTACGCCCTGCTCCGTGTAGATCCTCTGCTCCTCGTCCATTCGGAACAGCGCTCGAGAGGACACAGCGATGGTGACTGCATTCTGAGGCTTTGGCTGTAGGAGGGACGGTAGGACAGGCGGTCACTGCCCAGAGGCAGATAGATGCACTTGTGCAAGCTCCTCCTGGACCCAGGGATGTGGAGAAGGACACGGCCCTGCTCCTAAGAAAGGCAGCCTGGGGCAGAGGCAGACGCTGGGCTGGACCCTGCTGGAGACTGACTTCCAGTGTAGGAGCATGACAGGATGGAGAGGCATGCCCTCGGGGAGCTCGTGATATTGTGTTGGCCATCTGGACCTCAGAGGGAAATGAGTACATGTATGTAGGTAGCCAAAGTCAGGCCACGCTGAGCTGACTCCCAAATGGTTTCCATTATGAAGGAAGAGCGGCATGCCCTCAGGAAGAAATTAGTGCCCAGACAGTAATTATATAAGAAAAAAAATTGTTTTAATCTCCAGCCTGGATCTGTGTCCTGAGCTCCAGACTCACATCTCTAACTGCCCCAGTCAACCAACAGACCAAGAGACCCTCCAGCTTACAGTGCCTGAGGTGGAACACCCCATCCTCACCCCAAAACCCAACCCCTCTGCCCTTGCCTCATCTTGAGCTCAGCTCCACCATCCGGCTCACCACTTTCCGGTCAGACCACCTAAATCAGGAAGCAAACCTTCACTCTTCCCTCTTTCTCCACTCACTCCCCCATCAATGAACCATCCAAACCCCCCATGCTAGGAACCAGCCCACTTCTTTCTTCTCTTCCACAGCCCAGGCCACGGTCGCCTCTCACCCTCTCCAAATTGGCAGAGGCTCTGTCCGAAGCAGACCCGTGGTCACAGCTCTCTTCCTCAGCGGTGCAGAGTCAGGGACACAGCCCTTCCTACAGGCCAAGAAGTCCTTTGCAACTGACCTCTACTTCCTTTTCTACTCCCAGCTTCTGCTTCCCCACCTTTCTTGCACCTTCGCACACCTTCCCCTTGTCCTCTGACTCCTGAACACGACGTCCCCGCCCCTTACAGTGCAATTTCCCACACCTCATGCTCTCGCTCTGGGGCTCCACCACTTCAGCTGGTTCCTCTATCGAGTTCTCCCTTACCCTGACGGAGGGTTCTGGTAGGAAGACATGACTTCTGCCATCAGAGCTCGGCAGGGGATGGGGAGAAGAACTAAGCAAGCAGGACTAAGAGGCAGGGGATGGGCAGGAGTGACAGGTGGAAGCGAGGTCTCAGTGACTGGGCTTCGGGGGAAATCTTTGGAGGAGAGGAGGCCTTTGAGGAAGACCTTGAAGGAAGCGCACAAACCAGAAGCCTTCACAAAAGTGAACAGAGGCCAGGGCAGGGGAGAGTATAGACGAGGCCAGAAGGAGAGGGTAGGGGCTGGATTTCAAATGGCATCCCTTCCCAGATGCTAAATCTGAGCGCATCCCCCCCAAATCTCCTGTTGAACTATAACCCTGAATGTGGTAGTATTGAGGCGGAGCCTTTGAAGTGGTTAGGGCTTTTCTTAGAAAAAAAGACACCAGGATTTGCCTTGACTATTCCACCACGTGAAGACGCAGTGAGAGGCTGCCATCTTTAAACGAGAAAGATGACCCTCATCTTTTGGCTCCTTAATTTAGGACAACCAGCCTCCCAAAGTGCAAGAAATAATTTCTATGGTTTAAAGTTTAAGTCACCCAGTCTGTGGCACTTTGATACAGGGACCCCAATGGACCAAGAGACCTAACTTGGACAGGATGGGGTGAGGAGCGAGCTTGCCACCATGGACAGCAGCTGTAGCCTGACTGATTTCTGGGGAGCATCAGAATATGGATGTGTGGGAAACTCATGGACACCACTTCTCTGTGACCGTGACAGTCATGATCCCTACCTTACAGGTGAGAAGAGAGTGGCTCAAATTGAAACCAAGACTCATAAGTGGAGCTAAAACCCCAGCTTGTTCATGGTAATCTTCTGGATGATTTATTCAGCCCACTGTACACCATCACATGTGGCTTTTACATAGATGCTGAAAATACAAACTCAGGTTCCCTGTGTTTGTGAGCCAGGCACTATACAGACGGATCCCTCTCCCTGGTCCCTAAATTCACTTAATTTTAATGAATTTAAGCAGGTTCCTGTGGATAATGGCCAGAGAGGCCTCAGAGCCTCTCAAAACGGGAATGGAAAAACCAAAAATTTCCACAAAGTTATGTAGTTGACCACAGCTTGTATTTAGCTTTTTAACCAAGATGGTGTAAATGGGGGCTGGAGAAGTGGCTCGGTGGTTGAGAGCATTGACTGCTCTTTCAGAGGACTCAGGTTCAATTCCCAGCACTCACATGGCAGCTCACAACTCCTGGAAGTCCAGTTCCAGGGGACCCAACATCCTCACACAAATATGCATGCATGTGAAACACCTATGCACATACAATAATTTTTTTAAAAGGTGGTGTAAATGACCAGTGCGGCCAATGGAAGACGACATGGCAGAGGCGTCCCTTCTCTGAATCTCAACCCAAAGCTTTTGCCAGTGTCTGACCACCTGTATGCCAGTATGTTCTTGGGCCGGGCATTTCTCAGCTGCATCAGCACTTGGGAGCCTTAGGGCCAGAGCTGTCATTCCAGCAAAGACAGAGAACCCAGTTCCCTCCATCCACTTCACGCAGGCTCTGAATCCAGCTCCAGCCCATGTAGCCTGCCAAAGCCTTTCCTTCGCTTTCCGTCCCGCAGGTCCTGCCACACTGCTGGGTCTCGGGTCTCCTTTAGGTGAGTTACCCAGAATCCCTCAGATCCTACTCCCAGCCATCGCAAGAAAGGATGCCTTGATTGCCTCGATCTCTGGAGTGTCTACTTCCCTGTCACAGATGAGGAAATAGGGCCAGAGAGGGTCAGGGTAATATTCACACAAAAACAAGATGAGAGTTCAAGTCCCTAGCCTCCGGTTTGGCCTCTGTCCACATAACAGCCCTCTTGATAGGATCCTCCCAGAGAACTTCACCTTTCGTTACTTCAACAACTTCCCTGTTTACATCTCAGCCTTTCTTCCTATATTTGGAAGAAATGAAGGGAAGCATTGTGTCCTCATCCTGTGCTGTTCCATGGTGGGACACTCTTCCCCTGGAAAGTGACAGTCCCCAGGACAGGACCCTGACTCCTTCTCAATCACTCTTATACGACCTATGTGGGATGTGCCTCAGGAGCGCAAGCCCCTGGAGGTTGTCCAGCTTCCAGGTGGGTCTGAAAAACAGGTGACAGGATCTGTCCAGAACCAGGAGGAGCTGAGTCCGTGTAGACTGGTCCTCTCCTGCCTGGCCAGGCTTCTTAACATCCAACTCACATGTACACCCGAATCAGAGAGTCTGTTCCAGGCTAGGAGCTGGGTCAGAACAACCCGGAGGCTCATCTTGCGAGTACTGAGCTGTAGGGAGCTGTGGTCTTGCCAGCTCTCTTGAGATTTAGGCTGATCGTTGTGGCTTGGGGGTAAGAGTAGGAGAATTAACAGAGGGCAACCCAGTGCCACTGGCCTGCCTGAGGAGCTCCCGCTTAGACCAACAATCTGTCCATTGCACTCACGATAGGAGCGTAGCCAAAGAAACTGTTATTTCTGGAAGGACATAGGAGGGATGCTGGGAGAGAGGAGGACAGGATAGCTCTGAGTGAAGGCCTCTGACCACAAGAGGTGAGGGCCTCTGATGGTCTTCACTAGGACAAATATTCTACTCAAGCTCTTGGGAATGAAAACTAGCCCCACCAGGCCCATGAGGCTTACAAGCCTGTGGGAAGAGGGGCTATGGACAGGAAGGATAGGAGCTGGGAATGTCACCTAATCAGACTAGGGTTCAAGGGCTGATGAAGGAGCCATGGCTGATTATGGCCTGGTTCTCTGATACTTGGGAAGGAAATGGTCTTTGAACATTGAAGATTCTCTCCTGTTTTCCAGCATTCATCTCTTCCCCAAGCCTCAGGCCAGGACATCAGTCTTGCTTTTCTATCTCCATGGCATGACCTATGCCAGACCCGCCCTTTCCAATCCACCCGATAAACAGCCCAGTGTGATCTTTGTAAAATGAAAATGGAACCAAGTTAATCCCTGCTAAAGAATTAAAAAAGGATCCTGCAACAGTGCCATTACGATTGTCATATTTTTAAAGGTAGGTTGACCTTTTTAGCCAAATGAATTCTTAGGAAGAACCCCTCAACCCCCAATATGAGTAAGCCAACTATGTAACTGCTTTAAGTCTATTTTACAATTCAGATCTGATATCTACCCATCTACATGACTGTATCTGTGACAAAGCTAGCCAACGAAAACAGTTTGGACAGCAAGGCATTTGAAAGGAGGAGTTAGGATGCTACCACAGACTCAAGCTTCAGTATACAGTCAATTTTACGCTTCTGCACAGTTCCGAGAAGGTCCTGATTTGCACCACTAAACACCTGAAAATGGAAAGAGCTGATTTTTCAAATATTTAAAGGTTCTTTTTTTTTTAAAGAATGAAATTGGATTCACAGATCTGAAGACTTCCTCAGACATGGGGCTCCACAGAACCTAACGTCAAAGCCTCACTCTCACTAAATAAGGTCCAGGCCCCTTCTCAAGGATCTGAGACAGAGCTGTCCCTGGGCCGGGAGCCCTCTGAGTCCTTGTAACACTCCCGCCAAAGATCCTGCATTTCCCACTCAGTATGGATTCTGAACAAGGTTCTCACCTTCAAAGACAGCTCTTTGCTTTGCTGTCCCCACTCCCTTCCCGTTCCCCCCCACCCCGCCCTCCATCCCCTCCCCCCAGGTCTCCCAGGAGGCCCCACCCACTGAAGCCTTCCCCAAAGCCTTCTCTGTGGCGGTCAGCCCTTCTCCAGTTGCTCCCACAGCATCAAGTGGCATTTCCCCTCTCTAGCCCTGTAGACAGGCAGGGCACAGCTTATTATCTTCAGTCACCAGGATGAGCCAAGGCCTAGAGGTGACTATGGTTGGGATGGCCTCCTGGGTAAAGTCACTGGAGTGAAGCAGTGGGAATGCTTTAAGGTCAGACTGGGGGTCCTTGTGAAATGCCTCTGGGCCAGCTTCTATTGTCAATCCACTGCCCAAGCTCTCAGGTCTAAAGTGGTGGTGTGAGCAAAGGCTAAGGTATCGTGAAGGTGAAGTGGTCGGATGGAGGAAGAGGGAATTTTTGCCTGTGCGTGAAGTTGCAAAGGACTGATGCCACCACTGAAATTCCTGTTTGTTAACGCCCCCCACCCCCACCCCCCCGTCAGAAGCAATGTCTAAGGCCTTGGGAGATCAGAGCCTGGAAGAGAAACCCTGAGCCTGAAGCAGGTAGCATTCCTCTAAGATGCAGGGAGAGGGTCCTGGGTCTGCAGTTCGAGCCCAAGGGCCCAGGCTTCGGTCGGGAAGCCCAGCTGGCTGCACCTGAGAGCGCAGCGAGCATCCGGGGTTTCTAGAGTCCAGTTACTGAGCCCGGGTCGCCGCTGCCCCGGTGCTGACCAGCCGTGCCAACAAGTGCTGTTCGTGCGCTGGGCTGCCAGCATCGGGAGGGGGACAGGCCCCTGATGACAGCATGGGGGAGGGGGACCCTGGCGTGGAACCTGAGCCCGGGATAGGGGAGGAAAAAAAACCACCGCCACTAGAGCACAGCTCCCAAAATAAACTCGAGCCCGAGCCAACCGCTGGGCACATTCTGGAGCGGAGGAGCTGTGTCCCCTCGGGGAGGGGCTCCGCAAGTCCCTTCTCAGAGGGCTTGAGACCCTTTCCTGGAAGCGGCCCCTCCCGTGTCCCCCAAACCCAAGCCCCACTTTTACCGATTTGGGTTTCTTCTTGGGCGAGAGGTTGTCGTAGAAAGTCTTGGCTTCCTCCCAGCGCGGCGCCGCGGCGGTCTCTGCCCCCGGCCCGGGTTCGCGGGCCTCCCGGGGCTGTCCGGGTTCCATGCTTCGGCTCGGCGCGGCTCCGGTCCGGCAGGAGCAGACGGCTGCGGAGACGGGGAGCTGGCGGGACTGAGCTGCGGGAGGGAGGCGCGTCCCGGGCGGGAGAAGCAGACGGGCAGGGCCGGGAGGGAGTGCGAGTGAGTCCGCCCCGCCCACCGGGGGTGCGGGACCCGCAGGTTCAAGCCGCCGCGCGGTGTTTAGGGCAAGGCTGACCTCTGGTTCCCCGGCCGACCTGTGTCTGAAGCCAATGGGGGGCAGGTGCCGCCTGCTTTTCTGGAGCAGGCCGGCTGGAGCCGGGCTCGTGGGGTGCTACGGATTCAGGGTTGTGGGGATGGAGTTCAAGGGTACCGAGAGCAGAGGAAGCCTAAGATCTTTCCCTGCTAATACGGTGATTCCCATAGCAGACAGGCCCACTCAGCTAACAGGCCCACTGCCCCTCCGATGCCAGCGTCCCGGGACCATGCGCCATCAGTCGCCTTTCCCCAAATCGCAGACCATCCTTGGGCCCGGAGGAGTGGTGGATGGACAGCTTCCATTCATAAACAGGGAGCCTCATTACAGGTAGGGGGAAGTGTGGGACCGAAGTCTTTCCTTCACAGGAGGAGGGGCTTTTGAATCCAAGGCGTTGTCATGCTCTCCCAGTGGGCGACGCAGTCCAGAGCGAATTCCAAGGGGACTCTAAAGCCGGGTTCGTGTCGGCTCCCCTGTTGGCCAGCAGAGGGCGTGCATTTCCAAGTCCAGTGTGATGAACTTGGGGTGGTTCCAGTTGTGAGGTAGCTAGAGGAAGGGAAATGGGGGGGGAGGAAATTGTTTGCTCGGATCAGGAACAGAGCGGAGCTCCGTCCAGCCTCCACCGTGTCCTAGAAGGAATCAAGTAAACCTTGTTTTGTAGGGGTCTCCTCCCTCAGGGGAGGCCCCGGGGGCCCAAGAAACTTACAAGAATCCGGAAGCCCAAGGAATTTTAAAGACTTGGGGTTCCCTCCCAACTCTGAATAGTAAAGTAAACCTCTGCCGGGAGAGGAGAGCACCTTGGGTGGTGTAGCCGCCTGCAAGCCGCACCGGGAACTCCACAGCTGCAGCTTTCCTGAGTCATCGCGGATGCTGGGCTTTTGGGTGACACGGTTTCCAGAGTTGCCCAGGTTCCTGTAAATAACCCTCACCCACACACCTACAAGTCACCCCAGTGAACTCATCAGCTCAAGGCTGGCCTTGGACGGGATCACTTTGGGTGCCGCCCTTTATCTAGAGTGGATAGAAATATCTCCTCTGGAAAAGCAGTAGCATAGATTTGGAGGAGGAAAAACAACAAAAAAAGTTGGGAGAGGTAGGTTCAGAGGTATCCTTTTCCAGACTGGGATGGATTGGGGCGGGGGGTGTGTGTTTAACCCATCCCCAATAATTTAGATCTGTGTGACTGGCTTGAAAAGATGACCTGGGCCAGTCAAAATTTCCCTTTCTTTAGGATGTGGGGTTGGGTGGTCGGTCAGCCTCAGGCTTGACGGAGGATGCTGTGAAGTGCAGCCATCTCCCCAAAAGGTCTGGATGAGGCTCTGGAGCATGGCTATACTCGGTCTAAAACAGACGGGATGTGGGCACAGAAGTCTGTAAGCAGACGGAGGTGACCACCAGGTAAATATGGAGAAGGATGGACAGAAGACCCCATGAGAGAAACCCACTGCCCTGAGAGGGAGCTGGGTCTGGTCACAGTTCCCTCAGTCCTGGCTGCCGTGGCTATTTCCAGATTTCCGTTGTACCCTCTATTGAGAGGTTGAATAAGCAAGATTTGATTGAGAAGTGGGTGACTCCCTGCAACAGGGCTAGGGTCCAAAGATGGATTAGCTCAATTTTCCACGGGTTCTTCCGGCTCTTCCAGAGAAGAACGTTGATAGCTATTGGTTTTGCTTGATGCAACTGCTTTTCTCAGCCTTTTCCTCTAAGAAGCTCTGTCTCCCCAGAGCTCGAGGAGCAGCATGTACTGAGGCTGGGTCAACCATTTCTCTGGACCTTCTGACTGATACAGGAATGATTGTGTTCCCCTCCGGGGCAGTCATATGGATGCTGGGAGACTTGGGTTTGTTTATTTGTTGAAATAGTGTCTTGTTTATGTAGTCCTGGCTGTCCTGGAACTTCTGTGTACACAAGGCTGCCCTCAAAATCACAGACATCCTCCCTTGAGGTTTTAACTTTGGCCAATGTGAACAGGAGACCCATCATTCCCTTCGGCAGGTGAAAGACTGCGGAGAAACCTGTCTCAGTCAATGAAGTTAGAGAGAGGGGGGAGGGAAGAGCAGACGGTGGGGAAGGGTCCAGTGGGGCAGGAACGTCTAATTGTGTGAGCCAAAAGCCTTGTTCTCGTAGGCATGTTTAACTCATGGTTTTGTTTCTGTTGTTTGTTTGTTTGTTTGTTTTAAGGCTTACACCGTAGCTAACGCTGTCCCAGAACTCACTACGTAGCCAAAGCTGGCCTCAAACTCAAGACAATCCTCTTGCCTCGGTCTCCTGAGTGCTGGGTCTGTCGGGATACGTGCTCCGTGCCCGGTACTTTCATTCACCTGACGGCAGAAGTCCTGCCTAATTCGTGCCTCTTTGCTCACACCGACAGGGTAGGTGTGTCTTCTGTGCCATCAAAGAACCCTGCCCTGTCTTACATTCAGTTCCTTTCAGAGCTTTGCCTAGAGCTCATGTGAAGGGTTAGAGAATCGAGCTGCCACTGTCCTTTCGACCCCCCTGGGTTTCCGAATGTCCTCCTGGCTTGCATGGTTCTCTCTGAGAGCTAGCTGGCTATAGGGATTCCTTGGCTTTGCCTTCCTACACTCCTGCTGGCTGGCACTGTCTCTCGATGTCCAGTGCCCCATCAGATGATAAACTGTGAAGAGACCCTCTAACATGTTGGTTCTCACCCTTCCTGAGGCTGTGCGACCCTTTACTACTCATGCTGTGGTGACCCCCCAACCATAACATTATTTCTGTTGCTATTTCATAACTAATTTTGCTACTGTTGTGAATCGTAATGTAAATATCTGTGTTTTCCAACCATCTTAGGCCACCCCTGTGAAAGGGTTGCTTGACCCCAAATGGGTCACAACCCACAGGTTGAGAACCACTGTTCTAGGACATTCACATACCTGATCTGCACTCCTGGGCATCCTGCCCCAGCAGGTCTGGCCCCATTGGCTGGTATTTAGTGAGATCCGTGGCCTGTATCATCTCTTCATGTAACCCTTGGCTCTTTACCTCTTGTTATCTGTACCAGGAAAGACTCTGGGCTTTCTATCCCCTTTCACATTCTGGTTTGGGTTTGCTCCCATAGCTGAGAAAGTACAAGTAGCAGTGGCCTCGATGCCAACACATCTGATTCAAGGCCCCAGTGCAAAACAGTGATTCTTTGAGCCTTCACTTCCCTCTGTGGAGGAAAGCAGGTTGTATACTGGTCGCTTTGTGCCGCTATGACAAAATACCCATCGGAAACCAGTTAAAGGACTTAAGATTTTTACTTTGTAGTTTTCGAGGGCTTGATCAAGCAGAGCTGGAACAAACACCTGCTGTTTCTGAGTCCAGAAAGACGCAGGGTGTCCTGGGAGTGGAGCAGGAAGGTGGCTAGGGACCCTATACCCACAAGGATCCACCCCTAGTGACATACCTTCTCCAGCTAGGTCCCCCCTTCATATCCAGACCGTAAGAGAGACTTAAATGCGCGTGGCCACACAGGAAGGTTTGCCGACTTCATGGACTGTGTAAACACGAGGGGCCATTGCTGGAGGGTCGCAAGTCTTCACAAAGATGGCGGCAAGGGGAGCCAGTGGCCCAGAGAGGAGCAATGGTTTACATGAGTACGCAGACTGAGAGATCCCAAGGAAGGGATTCCGAGTGGCTCCAGCATGGATGCAGGAGCTTAAGATCAAGGCTTCCGAGCTCACTGGTGCCAGACAATGCAGGGCCCTGAGGGATATTTAAGCTACAGATCATAAGGCAGGGGAAGGGCCCTTGAAGAGCGGGCAGGATGTGTCACCCTGGCTTGCAGGCGAGGAAGAAGGCAAGACTGAAGGTAGGAGGTGCCTCCACCTGCCTGGCGAGAGATTATGAGGGATCTGAGCAGAAGGCAACGCAGGACCTTTGCATCTCCAGGCAGGCAGGGGACGGGACCTCCCATCCCTGCAGAGTGGCTTCCTCTGGGAACCGGAACTTCAGGTTCTCTGGCTTCTGAGCCAGCTCCTCTAGTTGGTGGTTACCCTGAGGGAGGTCAGCAGCCTTCCTCATCCTAATTGCTTCCTGCCGGGAAGGCTGCCTTCTTCCCCAGGCGTCCTTGAGGAAGCCCTTTCGAAAGCAATGGAGCGTCTCAGAAGGAAGCCAGCACCTCCACCTGCCACTGCTGCCTCCGGCTTGTGGAGGGGACATTCCGAAAAGAGCCTTCCACCACTTCCTCCCATGCTGCTCCTACCACTTCTGGGTCAGTTTAAGAGCTCTCAGGAATTAGGCTGGGTTCAGTGTGGACGGTGGAAACAGGTGTATACCAGTGATTCTGACCAGCCCGGCAGGTGAGGGCTGAAATCCATCATGAGCCTGACTTGTTAAACTGAGCACACTGGATGTCAGGGCAAAGAGGAAATTGCTCTCTCTCTCTCTCTCAAGACAGGGTCTCACTATATATGGACTAGGTTGGTCTCTGAACTCACACAGATCTGCCTACCTAAGTTCTGGGATTAAAGGTGAGCGCCACCACGCCTCGACATATTTTTCTAAGGAATCCAAGGTGCTGTTCTCTGTTTAGCTGCATGCTTTCTTCTGCTCAGAAGAATGCCTTTTCTTAATTTGCACAGAAACAACATACTGACCATTGCCCAGCTTGTCGCCATCAGCTGCTATCCACTCATGGATTCTTCAGGTGCCGTCTACCAATGTCTCCTGCCATCAGCACCCTCTGGGCATGCTGGAACACTCCTGTCATCCCAGTGCTCGGGACACTAGGGGATTAGGAAGGCAAGGCCAGCCTGAGATGCACAGTGGGACCCTGTCTTAAACAAACCAACCAACCAAACAAACAAAACACAAAGCAACCATTCCCCAGAGACACAAAGCCTGTGATCCCAGGGTTGAAAGGGAGAGGCCCGGTTGCCAGTTCTGGTTTGGAGGCCCAGACCTACACACATACATATGTATATACATACATACATACATCTATATGAGTGCTCTATTTGTATGTATGCCTACATGATAGCCTATGTGATAGCAGAGGACATCAGTCAGAGGAGGGCACCAGATCCCATAATAGACAGTTGTGAGCACCATGTGGTTAATGGGAATTGAATTCAGGACCTCTGGAAGAGTAACCAAGTGCTCTTAACCAGTTTTTGTTTGTTAGTTTTTTGAGACAGGGTTTCTCTGTGTAGCGTTGGCTGTCCTGAACTCCCTTTGTAGACCAGGCTGGCCTCGAACTCACAGAGATCCACCTGACTCTGCCTCCCCGAGTGCTGGGATTAAAGGCATGCACCACCAAGCAGGGCTCTGCTTTCCATTTTCTTTAAAGTAGCTTAAATGGGTTCCTACGTTCTGTGACTAGATTCCCTGCCAGACCAAAGATCTAGCTTGGCTCCAAGGAGGGCTCTGTGAACTCCGCTGGGCTCTTTCCCTTTGCCCCACCCTAGACCCAGCCAGCCCCCTTTAGGAAGAACAGGAGGTCTTGCACAGTCACACTTTTTATTCTTCGTCAGTGGGAAACACACACACCACATGGCACAGGATTGATCAGTGAAGACGGTTGCTGTGAGCACAGCTAGAAGCAGCATGTCTGGAGGGGACGGGGCTACATTGGGGCTCTCGTAGTGAGTAAGTCGGCATACACGGCTTCCCTAAACTTCCTTACTGCTTCGAAGACCCTGGACCTGGCCAGCCTCCGCCAAGCAGAGGGACCCATGCATCCTGAGCAGCCTCGTCCGACCTCACACTCTGACAGAGTTCAGAAGAGAAAACCCTCAAAAGTCTAGGGGGGAAAAATCCCATGTTTTTCTGAGACTTTTTGAGCACGTGAATTATCCTTTCTTTAATAACAATGAAGAAGCTGTGCAAGAAATGTATTCTTAACCCCACAGTGATTTCTAAAGTCAATAGACAGCCTCGCCCAGGGTGGATCTTCAGGAAATAACTCTTGCTTTTAACTTTTGCTTTTAATAAATTTTTGTGTAAAAATATTTACAGTGTTAGCTTACTGCCCTGCCTAGGAAGACCAGCTCTCTCTCTTCTCTCTTCTCTTACTCCCACGACCTTCTGTGTAAAATGGCTTTCTGCTTCTGAGGCTCTGCCATTGCCAGGGCAGAGGAGAATTAGTACCTTCGAAAGGAGCTTGGTTTTCTCTTCATTTTAAAGGTATGTTAGTAATGAGGCAGCTGTATGGACTGCAGTGGGTACCCGAAGCAGCCTATGCTCATGATTTTTAGGGATGAGAAATAAGGGGCTCATCACTTAGCCAGAAAAGATAAATGAGGATAGCAGGCATGAGAAAGATGAATCTGGAACCACCGGATTCACAGAACTTTTGTAAGGGGATACAGAACCGAACCTCAAAGGAGAACTTGATATGTCAATGTTTTAACTGCCTACCTGTTTTTATGCCTGTGCAAGTCACACACAGATCTCTGCCGACCTTGTGCTTTGCGGTGAGGGCTTCTGACGCTGGAGCAGAGATGGAAGACCTATCTCTATTCTCAAGGCAGGGATGGGCGCTCTACCACATGGGCATCTTGAGTTCCAGACACCCAAGGGAATGTGGGAGCAAGACCTAGCCTGCCTGTGGCTCCTCCCATCAGCGAGAGGGCAGAACCAGTCTGGGGCCTGTTGGGCTGTCTGAAACCCTTGGCCTAAAAGCAAATATTGCCCATGAGTAGATGGCCAGAAGCCTGGACTGATCAGTCTTATGGGCAGAACTTGCCTACCAGCTTGGAAGAACAAAAGCAGTCCTCTCAGGAAGGAAGGTAGTGGGGAAGACAACACAAGATGCTTCCAGGATGTAGTCAGCAGCCTCCAAGAATGGCACTGGTCCATGTAGGGCTGCCCAGAAGCAGAAAAGAGGATGCTTGCAAATGGAGAGACTTTAAGCTCCCCCTCCTCTTTTGGAAGACCACAGCCTCACAAACTTCTTGGCAGAAAGCCTCTGAAAGACAAAAGTTAATTTGTCCTGCTGTCAACATCTGGACAAATCAGACACAGAAATGAACGGGGCACAGAAGAGTCCCTTTGAGAGCCTTGCGTTCAAGTCTTGCCATTGTGTCTCCTGACTGCTTGCTCTCACAAAAGAGACCTCCCCACCCTCAACCCTAAACCTTACCTTCCAAGCCTGGGTAAAGGTACTGAAAATCCCTATCTCCCAGGGCTATGAAGACAAAATGAGATGCAGGTCGACACAGCTTTTGAAAGCAGAGAAATTCTGTGCCATTGTGAGTTAGGCTAGATTCAACATTTGGGGGCGGTGGGGGAAGAGGGGGGCAGAAAAAGCTTTCGATAGAAGATTCAGGTCCCAGCTGAGCTAAGCTGTTGAGAATTTATATATCTGTGGTGCTGAGACAGCACAAGACATGCTTAACAGGCAGCTCGTGAGAGCTATGGAACAGCCGCAGGAAGCATCAGTAGATAAACACCTGCTAGTATCATTTGAGGCTATGAATTCCTCAGCTTCACCACGTGACCTGGATAGGCGGGCAGAAAGGAGGAGGCTTGCTACCTGTGAACGTCACAAGAAGAAAGGTCTGACAGAGTTTTGGACCATAGGTCAGAATCTACAAAAATGTCTACCAGCAGGGAGGTGAGCACTCAGAAGAAAGGCAAACAGCATCTCCCCTGCAGGGCAATCTCTGCCCCCACACACCCCCGGGCTTCACAAGCATTCTCTACTCCCACCCTGGCTGACAGCATCTCTGTACTAGACTGTTTTCACAGCAGTTCAAGAGGAAGCCAACTGTCACTGCGCATCAAAGCTGACTTCTAATCACAAGTGCAGGCAAATGGAAAGTGAACAACTGGAAGAACCAAGATGGATTCTTTTCCGGAAAGCATGCAGCACAATAGTTAGCTCACAGACCCTAAAATTCAGAAAGCAAAGCTGGTGAGCTCGGAAGGTGGCGAATTTAATTACCTGGCAGATCTCTAGGATGGAGGAGTTGGGGACAGCCTTTCCTACGGCGTACACACAGCGCATTTTTATGCATTTGGTCCATAGATACAGCCCAGAGGCCTGAGCGGTAGCCGGATGATCCTTTTCTCCTCGCTCCTTCTATCTGAGGCCACGAAGGAACAAGCCAAACCCTGGAACCAACCCAAACTCAGAAAGAAGCTACTGAGATGTAGAGTGTGAACTGTTCTTGCTCATGGTAACCCTCATTTTCCAGCACCCAAAGTGCGGACAGAGAGTCACTTGTGGGACTGAAGAAAAGGGAATTGAGAAGAAGTAGCAGAAGCAGCAGGAACTGCTGGTGATGAGAGAGCAGGTTCTCTGTGTCTAGTGGTAGCCCCACCCCTTCGCCTAAACGTTTCCCCCCCTTGAACATTAGCATTTGTATATTCATTTAAATCGGTTTTTATAAGAAACCAAGTATACAGAGTATATTTTAATAGTCTAATAAAATGATCTTTTAGCTCTTTGAAAGGGCACTAAAAAAATAAATATTACATAATTTTTTTTTTTTTTTTTTTTTTTTTTAGTTTTTCTTAAAACTTCCACCCACGTGGCACCTAAGCTTCCCGGGCTTTTCGTTTAGTCTTTCTGCGGCTCTGGGTGGCGCTAGCTGGAGGACGCACTGGTTCCAACCACACCCCAGCTGCCTCGACCCCTCATCTCAGCTGCGTTCTACACCCCTGTCTGAGACGGAAACCCTTGGAAGCTGTCTCATCGCTCTGCGAGCTTCCAGGGGGCCTGGGATGTGGTTTTGTAAACAACAATATTCTTAGCACCTTCAGGTGCCTGGCATTGAACAAGTGCTCAACAAGCATTAGCTGAAGAAAGGACCCAGTGAACATTCCAAAGGCTGGGGGCCGGAGGAACCAGGAAGAGTCAAGGAGGCAGGGCAGAGATCACCTCTCAAGAAATCTGGAAAGGACAGACCCAGTTTGGCCCTCTGACTGGGAGCCTGTGGGACCACAATGTTTATGTTGAGCATAATCCTGGGAACGACAGGATTGAAAAAATCCGAGTCCTCAGCCCCTCCTTAACCTCGCCTCTTGGGTCAAAAGCCAACTCTCCTAAGCCCAAAGGATGTTGGTTCTAGGCCAAGGATAGAGGTGGAGCTAGTGACAGGCTATCTGAGGACGGACTGCTTGAGGGGACCTGTCTCTTTTTGTAGGAACTTGACTCTGAAGAGAAAGGCTTGGGCAGAGGAGTGGGTAAGCTAGAGAGTGAGGCTGGAACGCCCCTCCCCCCGGGGGTGGGCCAGCAGAGAGGACATCAGGTTGGGAGGTGCCATGCCCGTCCTGGCCAGGGGCCCTGCCCCTCACCAGCCTCTATTTCTGCATGTCACACTGCAGCAGCAACACAATAGATGGGTCGCTCTTGGCCGCCTCCTTGAACTCCTCCAGCGTGATCTGGTCGTCTTTATCCTGGTCCATCTTCTTGAAGATCTTGTCCACACGCTGCTGGGGCGTGAGCCCATCCTGGTTCATGCGCATCATGATCACGGTGCCCACCATCTTATAGATAGCCTGGTGGAACAAAGACGTAGGTGTGAGCACCCAGCTGTCGGGGAGGACTGGGGATGAATAGAAGGGATCTGGGGGGTGGACTGGGAGGACCCCGGAGTTGGGTGGAGACACTAGGAAGAGATACCCGGCCCTTAAGACTGGCTTTCCAGGGCTGCAAGCCTAAATTTGAACCTGAGTTTGAACCCACGTAAAGGTCGAAGGAAGGAACTGACTCCACAAAGTTGTACTCTGACCTCACATGTACACTGTGGTAACCCCTCCCCATCGTGTGTGTGTGTGACACACACACACACACACACAAATTTCTTTTGAGACAGGGTCCAGTCATGTAACTCTGAGTGACCTAGAACTAGTTATGCAAACAAGGCTGGCTTTGAACTCACTATGTAGACCACCTGGTTTTGAATTCACAGAGGTCCACTTGCCTCTGCCTATTGCGTGCTGGGACTAAAGGCTTGCAGCACAACACCCAACCAATATTTAAAACAAAAAAAAAAAAAAAAAATCAAGATAGGCTGTTTACCTAATGAGCACCTTAAATGAGTAGTGCCTCAAACCCAACTCTTTAACCCAATCCCCACCTGTTCTGTCTCTAGAATTCCTTGTCTCAACAAGTGAGGGCTTTATTCTTCCAGATTAAAAACAAACAACAGCAAAATAAAAATAAAAAGCCCTCAAGCCATTCTTTGAGACAACATTTTGTCTGTAGCCCAGGATGGCTTGGAACTCATTATGTTGCTTAGCCATAATGAACTCACCATCCTTCCGCCTCAGCTTCCTGAGTCCTGGGATTACAGGGGTGTGCCACCATGCTTAGTTCTCATGTTCTTCTCTCCCCCTCTTCCTCACACATACATCCACCCCTTCGGCAAAACATGTCAACATGTCTAATTCTGTAACGGGCCCTGTGTCGACTTGCTTCCTACCATTTCCACAGTGCATGTGTGAAGGCCGCCTCCCCCAGCTCCTGACTGGATTTCAGTGGAATCTCCTAACTGGTCTCCCCATCTCTGCTGCCCACCTGCTCCTCTACCATCGAATCGCCAGACTCAGATCAGACTCAATGTCTCTACCCTAGCCTGAGCCACTGCTGGCGTTCCTGGCTCCCTGGGGACATCTTCCCATCATTCTCCCCTCCACTCATGTCTCCACTACCACCCTGGCCTCTTCCACACTTTGAGCCATTCAAACACTTCACCTGCATGAGTGGATCACTCTGCAGACTTCAGGGTTAGCTCGACCCCATTTTCCTCCATCACCATCCCCTCCTTTTGCTCTTTTGCTTACTTTTTCCATACCATTTACTGCCTGGCATGTCCCAAATTTGCTCACCGATCTACTAGGGAAAAAAAAAATAAACATTGCATGTGTGTGTGTGTGTGTGTGTGCGTGCACCAGAGCAAGGGCCATGACCTGTCTGAGGTCAGAGGACAACAGGTAGGAATTGGCTCTCTCCTTCTACCACGTGGGGTCTCGGATCAAACTCGGGTAGTAAGACCTGGCAGCAACCACCCTTACAAACTGAGCCATCTCTCTCCAAACCTCAATACTTATTTCTTGAAAAAAAAAAAAACAAATAAATTAACTTGGCTACCCTAGATTTGATTCATTGATGGCTGCCACTTGCTACTTTTTGTTTATCTGGGAAAATGGGTATCACCATCTACCCCCCTCCCCAAAACACACACACACACACACACACACACACACACACACACACACACACACGTTAAATATTGGGCAAGGGGACGGAACAACTGTGATGGAGGAATTTGGGGGAGCAGCTAGGAGACTCCTGAGGCTCAAGGGCATCGGACACCCAGCCTGGCCGGGCCTTACCTCGATGATCTCCAGCATCTCCAGGCGAGTGATGCGCCCATCGCCGTCCAGGTCGTACATCTCAAAGGCCCAGTTGAGCTTCTGCTCGAAGCTGCCCCGGGAGGTGACAGAAAGGGCGCAGATGAACTCCCGGAAGTCGATGGTGCCGTCACCATTCTTGTCGAAGGTGCGGAAAGCATGTTGCGCAAACTTGGAGGCGTCTCCATAAGGGAAGAACTGAGGCAGGGGCGAAGGTTAGTGAGATGCTGTGACAGCCCCACCCTCCCTGCCCATCCGACCTCCTGAGTTCCGGCAGCTTTCCGGTTTCTGGTACCTGTCCACCCCGCCCCATGCCACACCACGCCCCACCCTGCACCTTGATGTAGAGTTGCTGAAACTCTTCCAGGTTGAGGATGCCGCTGGGACAGTCCTTCAGGAAACCCTTATACCACTGCTTTAGCTCTTGCTCGCTGAACTCCGTGTTCTGGACCAGGTCTTCCAGCACCTCAGGGGCCAGCTTGCTGTTGTTCTTCCCCATGGTGGGCCTGGAAGACAGAGAGCTCCCTCAGTGTGGCCCAGGCTGGGACTTCAGCCAAAGAGGCTCTCCACCCTCTCCCAAGTTGGAGCTCTCATCACACTCCCTGTCCCATAAGGATCCCTTCTTCCTAAAGCCAGTACTCCTCTTTGCACAGCAGGGTCTGTCATTTCCATAGTCACCGGCTTCAGCAAGCCTCGCCTTCCTTCAACGTGCTCAGCCTTCACTGGGCCTTTCTCACAGAAAGCCTATTTTCATTGGGTGGTTCTCTCTCTCTCTCTCTCTTTCTCTCTCCAGAAAAGACCTCTCCTGTAAGGACATCTCCAGCCTTTCCAGGTGGCAGCTGATCCCCTCAGTGACTTGTGGTAGAGTATGGCCCAATCTTTATCCTTACCGCTCCCATCATTCATAGCTCTCTAAGTCTATAGCATAAAGCCTCAACTCATCTTCCTGCTAGTAAGGGCTGCCTGTATTCAGCACCCTCCCTCCTGGGGAGCCTCCTCTCTTATCAGTGTCCCCCAGGAACCATTTCCCAAGTTCTTCCCCCAGGCTTTCCTGGGAGCCCCACACAGGAAGCATCTTTCCTTCCTTCCTGTGTACAAACAGAAGTCCTAGCCTGGAGCAGTAATGACACTGATTACATTTTGCTTCTCGTTAACCCTGTTCACTCCTGAGCATTTGTTGAGGGGCTGGGCTTGCCAGGCATCAGTAGTTCATAGGAGGTTTCTGGAGATAGATGACTGCCTACAAAGGTCCTTCAATCCATGCCAACCTGGAGGTGTTAAAGCAGGGGTCTGCAAGCTGACATTCATTCCACAACAAGGGATGCTTACGATATACCAGGTCCTGGAAATTCAGAGATTTTTAGAATTTTCCTTCGGCTACAATGGGCAAGATAACTTGAAGGTGGGGCTGGAAAGATGGCTTAGTGGTTAGGAGCACTCGTTTCTCTTCCAGAGAACCCAAGTTTGTTTCCGGGCACCCATGTCAAGTGGCTCACAACCATCTGTACCTCGGCTCCAGGGCATCTGACACCTCTGACCTCCAAGGGCACCTGTACTCATGTGCACATACCCACAGGCAGAAACACACATCACTATACAAATCTTTAATAAAAGATGGCTTGAAGTGGAAAGGGGGTGAGCAGTACAGGGAGGGGCCTGGCATACATTTCAAGTGGAGAGACATGGATGGACTGAAAGGCAGGAAGGAGGGGCCACGGTAGCTCCTGATGACTGCATTTGGGACCGAGACAAACACAGAAATCAAGGCACATGATCCCCAGGCTAGTTACCAGATAGCTCTGGAACTCAGGGTCCTCCTCTGTGCCGTGAGATCAAGGTGGCAGCATCCTTCCCTGGCTACTGACCTCCCAGCCTCAGAAGATGAAGGATTCTACAGAAGCCTAGGAGGCGGAGCATGCTATCTCCAGGAGCTTGGAACTGCACCAGGGCCAGGGTGAGAGTCAAGGGTGTCTCTGGACCACCCACAGGCAGAAGTGAAGGGCCATCCTCACTGGCCCCCCCTCCAAGACTGTGTAAGCTCAAGACATACATAAGGCAGTTGGAGAACCGGAGAGCAAAGGTGTCTGGTGTGGGAAGCAGAACCCCTCCCCGTGGCTCTTGTAGGATGTGCCTGCACATCTACAGGAGGGGCTGGGTCTGTGTGTGGGAGGGTGTCAACATATGAGGCTGCAAATCTGTCAGAGCACACACGTCTCTGTCATGGTGTCTGTGTGGTCCTCACCTTCCGCTTTCTTTCTTTTTCTTTCCCGTGCTACCTTCCCCACCTCTCTGTCTTCAGGGTCCTTACCCATGCCTGCCCCTACTTGGCTCTAGTCCCAGCGAGGACCAGAAAATGTCCCCTCATCTTTTTTAGATTTTTCAGAAAGTCAAAGTAGGCAGCACCCTTTGAGATCACATCCCCTCCCCCTTACTATAGAAAAAAAAACAAACAAACTGAGAGAGCAGTGGCTTGGGTGGGGGTGGGGGACGGTGGAGGGGTTCCTTCCAGCTGAATTCCTGTCACCTGCTTGAGCCATCCTCCCTACATCATGGCTGTTCTTTCTCAGCACAGACCTTCTCCACCCTCACCTGACTTCCGGGAAAAACAGCTCTGATCCTGTGGTCTCAGCGGGATCATTTTTGCCTGAGCTGCAGCCCATAGTCTCTGAAGGGCAGAAACTATATACCCATCCTAGTGGATACCCCCACAAGCGCCTCAGCTACGACCAGATTCACCCTCAACTTGAACAACTGCTTTTCTCTACCCCCCTCTCTCCTTCACCCCTGGGTGTGGGGCCAAAGGAGAAGGAAAAGGTGAAAAATAAAGACCTTGTGGATTATTTTAGATTTACCCCTTTTCTTCAGGTCCAGTTTGCCACTGGGTCTTGTGGTGGCCCATGTCCACAGAGCCTACCTGCCCCACAGGAAGGGCCCTCCTTCTGACACCTCTGTCCAAGGGATGGTTTCCCCTAGTTACAACGTAGGGGTATAGGTGACCCTCTGAAACTTCAGGGTTTTCTAGAATCTCACCTCAAGGTTAGGGTAGAGCTACCCATACACACGCATGACCAGACCCTCTGAAACTCCAGAATCATCTAGAATCTTGTTTCAAGCTGCCCACCTGTTGATCCTCGCCTTCCACCGCTCTGGCCATCACCACATACTCCTCCTGAGCCAGGCATCTCTCAGCTAGACCCCACCTCACCTATGTGCTTAGATAATTTCTCTGCCTTCATCCTTCTTTTCTGGGTAGACACGGGCTGCAAAGCTGCCTTCGTTCCTTCACTGAAACCTTCCCTGCAATCAGCCCTTTCAAGCTGGGCAGTGGTCAGGCAGCAGCGTGGACTCAGCACGGTGGGCGCAGGCAGACCTTGTGAGGATACGGTGTGGAACCCTCACACATAAACCGCCTCCCGACCCTTAGCTAATGATACAGGACTCCAAGGGAGGCCGTTATAGTGCCTGAAACAGGAAGACCCCCCAGGTCTTTCTGCCCAACAGTAAGTCTGTCTTCTGGAAACTTTCCCTCTGTGCCTGCACATGAGCAGAAATTTGAAGGCAGAGCCTCGAATGCAGTCAGGCTCATGAACGTCCCTCAGATTATAAGAGGAGAGCAACAGGCTCCTCTTCTTGGTACTGTGTCACACTGTTTTGTTTATCTGTGATCGCCTATCAAGCCTACTTCAGAGACAGTGGAACCCAAAGTCAGGGAAAGGAAAGGTTCACCCAAGGTCAACTGGAGCCCATCAGCTGCAAAGCAAAGACTAGGGCCTAGCTGGGGGGCATGTTCTGTTGGAGTGGTGGTTTGTGGAGTGCTATCTTCCAGTTGAGGAGGCACTCCTGGCTCAAAACTCTTTCCCTTCTGTGCTTAGAGGCTTCTTCTAGCGGGCTCAGGGTTAGGGTTCAAGTGGAGAGATGGCAGTGAAGGTAGGAGGGACTTGAAGGAGGCAATAATCCCACACCCTTGCCTAGCTTCAGAGGAGCTGGTGCTGAGGCAGTTGCCATGGTGACAACAGCTCCCTGGTCAGGAGATTTTTCTCTTTCCCTCTCCTCCCTTTGCTCTTCTCCAGCAGCAGCAATGGCAGTAACATCCAGGTCTTGGTCCTCCCCCTTCATAAAAAGAGGCAAAAGTGATACATGCAAGATGAGCAGTGTCGGCCACTTCTGATTTGGTGCTTTCATGCCAGGGTGGTCTGACCATCTAGAAATAGAACCCTAGGAGAATAAAGCTATGATATGTAGGAGAGAGTATCCCGTACCCAGGCCTGATTAAAAAAGAATGCCCCTATAGCAATGGCTGGGGCCTCTCAGGTCTCCTCTGAGAAATGTCCTAATGGTTCAAGCAGGGCTTCGTTTTCCTATAATCAGCTGTGGATCAGAATATGCCAGTGTTGGAAGATTGCTCCTCTGCCCTGCTCGTTCTCCCACCTCCCGAAGAAGAATCTGAGAGGGGAAAAGACTTGGCTGAAGTCAAGCAGCAGCAGAGGCCAGCAAGCTTTGCACCAGACGATTCTGCTGCCACATTCATACTCAGGGAGAGGAGAAAATGAGTCCACATGGATCTTTGGCCTTAGCTCTACAAAGAGCAGGGAGCCAAAAGTGGGAACAGCTAGGCACCAAAAGGGCAGAGAAGAAACTGGTCACCAAGAGAGCACTCGGGCGTGTTTGGGTGAGAGGGGTGACGAGGTACAGAGACAGCCTGGAGCTGCTGGGTGGTCTCCTGGAAGGGTCAAGATAAAGGAGGCAGGGTATGAGATCTCTGTCTAGCTTGGGGCTACTAGTGGCGAAGCTGCTGAATGTGCCTGGAATAGGACCCTGTGTGTGTGGGAGGGGGGCTGTGTTCATCCTTCCCTCAGGTATGCTGTAAGCTGTCAGCATAAGGGGTTAGAGATAGTGTGATCAGAGAATGGATTTGCTATGGAGGTTCTCTTTGGGAAAAGGGACCCTGAGGTATGAATGAAGTGAATTGATGGTGTGGGTGTGGGCTACCTCCAGGCTGAGGTTTCCGGGGCACTCGGCAAGCCATCGTCTCCAGAGGTGACAACAGGGGACAGGGTGACTGGAGCCTCGGGGACACCACACCCCCAGGTGTGTGTGTGTGTGTGTGTGTGTGTGTGTGTGTGCACGTTTGCACACACTGGGGCCAGAGGGAAAATTAATTCTTACCTGAGCTGGGGGTAAGAAGGTGGCCGTACCTCCTTCCTTGAATTGGGGACCCGGCTTGAAGTGAAAGTCCCTTGCCCAAGGCGGGCTCTCCAGATGGCCGTCCACCTATGACAGACCCAGGGTCAGGAAGATGGATCTGAGCAGATGAGGATGGGAGGGGAAACGCAGAGGAGGAGAGGCTCAGGGCCTCCGCCCCACGGGACTGCTCTGAGGGCCCGGCCCTATCCGCATTACCTGAGGCTGAGTCGCCGGATGGCTCCGAGCCTGGGCGGCCGCGGGGATAATGCTGGCGACCAGGCGCACTCCGGGCTCTGTAGGGTCCGCGTCGGAGCCGCCTCCCAAGCTCTTGTATCACTATGTGCTCCTCGAAGACGACACGATTTGCATAAGGGCCGCCCCCTCTCAGGAACCTTGGACATCGATTGGTTCAGCTGGTGCCGAGTGACAGGCGAGGTTTCAGGTGGGGTTGGGGTGGCCTGCGAGTCTGGGCCACTACGAGAGCGAGCCCCGCCCGCCCGCCTGCGCTGACCTTCCCCGAGTCGCCAGGATTGCAGAGGGCTGTACCCCCATCTGTTCCTCAACCCCAAGGCTCAGAGCCTGGGTCGCAGTTTGCAGCGAAAAGGACCGATGATTAAAGTGGATTCGCAAAAAAACAACCTCACTGTTGCTATGGGAACAGAAGAACCACAGTCTCTAAGCCGTCTCTTCCTGGGCCCCGGCGGGGGTGGGAGTAGAAGAGGGGGCGATTCACACGAGGCGACCCCGGCCCGTGTCCCACCTGAAACCGGAGGGGGTCAGTGGGAGCCGCGGAGCGGCAGGGTGGAGGTGGGAAGGAATGGGGTGGTGCCCCCTGCCCACCCACTCCCCTCCCGCCGTGGAGCAGAGGGGAGGGGTGCAGCAAGAGCTGGGTAGAGGTGGAGGTACCCTCTGCCGAGAGGCACGACGGGCTCCCGCCAGACACCCCACAACCTTAATTCCGATCTCTTATCAGTTTGCATCCTTATTTCTCAAGGATTCCCCCCCCCCCCAAAAAAAAGACTGTTTGGTTCTCCTCCAGAAGGAGCCTTCTACGTACCCCCAAAGACCGCTGCCTTCCCCACCCTCCCGCATTCCCGTCGCTCAAATGGAGCCGGTTCCCAGCCGCCGCCAGCCTCCGGCCTCGGATGTTGACACAAACCGGAGGCGGTTTACACTGAGCGGGTCTGGAAGGTTTCAGGGAGGCAAAAACACCTCCCTTCCCGCCCTTGGGGGTCTCCTCCCCACAGCCCGCCCAGCCGCCGAGGATGGACTGGTTTCTGAGAACTCGCAACCCGAGGTGGTGGGAACGAGCTCTTCTAACGCCAAAACTCGGGGCGAAAGGGGAGCCCAGGTCCCCGGGCTGGGCCACGTGCGGAGGAGGGACTCCGGGGGCATGTATCTAAAGTGGGGGCGGGACGCGTGGGGATTGGTTAAATGGGATTGCCAATGCCGAGGAGCCGCGGTGGAGAGGCAGGGTTTCCGTCCGAGCAGCAAATGAGATGGGTGATGTACTCACTGGGGGGATGGGGCAGGCCTGCCACCGGCGAAGGTTTGGCCTTTGGCACTGGTCTTGGAAACTCCCACAGCAAGCACACTGAGGGGAACCTAGTGGGACCTCCGTCTTCCTTATGAGCCATCCCTTTTCCTCTTTAAGTCACTGTCCTGTTCTGCTACCAGCTGGTTATGCTTCCTCTCTGGGGCTGTAGGGCAGGGCTGGGGACGCCATGGTGCAGACCCAAGAGGAGATACATCCCTGGACTCAGGAAGGTGCTTAAAAGCCTTAATTCACTTCCCAGGTACCTTCCATGCTTTAGGCCCTGGAGTAGTAGCCGAGAGTGCTTGGTCACTGTTAACTGCACTTGGTCACTGCGAGAAAGTGAGGAAAAGCACGGGTCGCCGGAAGTGGTACCTGAAAACCTAAAACGGAGTGTGGTTGTTTCTAGGTCCCCTCATACGATCTCAAGCCAACCTTTTCTCACCCTGGGCCTACCAGTCTGTAAAACGTGGGAGCCAGTACCAGACACTCAGCAAGAGTCGCGGAGGACGTGAGCAGGAGGATGAAGAAAGATTCATTGTTTTAGAATTGTAGGGATATGAACCTGAGCGCCTTACTTGGGACTCCCGAGCCCCTGACAGTAGCTTACTTTGCGTTAGAACTTTACAGTAGTCCATCCTTGTTTGTGTTTTTTTTTTTTTAAGATTTATTTATTTTATGTGTATGAATGTTCTATCTGCATTTACATCTGCCAGAAGAAGGAATCAGTTCACATTATAGATGGTTGTGAGCCACCATGTGGTTGCTGGGAATTGAACTCATGAACCTTTGGAAGAGCAGACAGTGCTCTTAACCAATGAGCCATCTCTCCAGCCCTGTTTGTGGTTTTAATTTCTGTAATTTTCATTACCTGAATTCAGTCAGAGTCCCAAAACAACAAATGGAAAAATTCCAGAAATACGGAATCCATCACTGTTAAGTTGTGGGCTGTTCTGATTACCATAATGAAACCTTCTGGCACTCCTTTCTAGCTTTCTGTCCTGTTGGACCTCCTCCTGCCCAGTGTATCCACTCTGAATTCGCCATCTGCCTCTTGGTCACTATCAGCTATGGTAGTGGCTATGTTTCAGTAACCCTTCTTTTATGTAAGAGCCCCAACCTCCATAGTTGAGCGTCCTGGGAGTCTCAAAGAAAACCTCCCTGTAAGTGAAAAACAAACAATCAAACAAACAAACAAACAAAAGAGGAACTTCTTAGTGAGGTAAGCCTATGCTGATTGCTAAGAGCGACAGCAAGAATGAATCCAGGAAACTGGGAAGAAGGAAAAGAGCCACGTCCCTAGCGTTGCTTTGACACACCACACTGCAAAAGTCGTGGTTTGGTTAGAATGAGAAGAGGTATTAAATGACAGGGGTTGAGCCAGGTGTGGTGACGCCCACCTGTAATCCCAGTGCTCAGGAGGCAGAGAGGCAGGAGGATAGCTGTGAGGTTGGCCTGGTTTTCAGTGAGTGCTCCGTCAGGGTTACTTGGCACAAAACAAAAACCAACCAACCACCACCAAATTACAGTGGTGATTGCCTTAAGTTAAGGCGTCCACGGGGGGTGTCCTGGTACATATCCCCCCAGGACAAAAGAGATTGCTGTAAATGTATCGCTCACTCTCCCTAAGAACCCTGTGGGGCAGACATTATTAATACTCACACTTGAGAAATGAGGAAATGGAGGTGCGGGGTAAAGTGACATACAAGTTCACATAGCAAGTACCTCTGCAGTACTGGGGCTTCGCGGTCCGGATCCAGAGCCCACGGCTCGCTAGTTGGGTTAGCTTTCCATTGCTCTGACAAAATGCCCAAGACAAACAACATAACTGGGGGAGAGATCCTTTTTGTCTCACAGTTTCAGATGGCTCAGTCCATGATCACGTGACCCAATTGTTTTTGGCCTGTGCAAGGCAGGGTACAAAGTGCGGTTCATGGTAAAGCTTAGTGCATCGTAGCCGGGAAACAGTGAGAGGACGCCCACTCCTTAACAAAGCCTTGCCTCGAAACCCACCAAGATGTGAAACCATGAATGAATGGATCCACCCATGAGGTCAGAGCCACTCACCTTCCAAAGGCCCCACCTGTGAGCATGGCTGCACTGGGAAGGTTTTTAGTTTGATGCAATGTTTCAGCCCATGGCCATTTGCCCTATTGCTCTGGACCTGATCCAAGTCTGAACATTATGGCAGACAGTGCATGATGGGACAAAGCTGATCAGCTCATGGTAGCCAAGAACAGAGACAGGTGAGAAGGAGGATATGGAGACTAGATACACATTTCAAAGGCACTTTTCCTTCTTCATGGCTTCACAGGGACAGACTTTTTTTTACAATTCCTATCTTCTCTCACGAGTCCATTCAGTCAGGTCCAGTCTATCCCCGGGCCAGAGAGATGGCTCAGTAATTGAGAGCACTGGCTGCTGTTCCAATCAACCCAGGTTCGTTTCCCAGCACCCACATGACAGCTCACAACTGCCTGTAACTCCAGTTCCAGAGGATCTGATGCCCTCTTCTGGTCTCCTCAGGCACTACACACACATAGTGCACAGACACGCACTCAGGCACACACACAGACACAGAAAATAAATCTTTTCCAAAAAAAAAAAAAGTAAAACACAAACAAACCAACAGAATAATCTATTCATGGGTCCATCGGTTAGGTGAAAGCCTTCGAGCTAGGATTACGTCCCCAAAGTCCTAGCTCTGAACGTGGCGTTAGGCAGCAAGCCTTCAATACATAGCCCTTTTGGGAGAAATCTCATATCCAAATGCAATGCAAACTTAGATTAGCATTTTACTTATTGAAAGGCAATGCCTACTAAAAGAAGCTTCTGTGTCTTAGAGAAATGAGACACCTCGGCATCACAACCGCAGCACAGCTGGCAGTATGAATCCTTCTCAACTGGGAAGGGCCCAGTAGGTGGCTGCCCTGTCTACACCCATTTCTGAGATCAGACTGCCTAGGCAGCCTTGCTCTGGAACCATCTCCAGGCCCTGTACAGTTCCTAAACTGCCAGCCCCACCCCCTACCCCCTTACCTGCTCACAGTGCTTGACCAGAGCACTGTCCCCTGAGGCTTGATGTTTGATGTAGTAACAGCTGACGGGGACTGAGTTGTTCCAGTGTCAGATTCTGCAATTCTTTACCCATGTCATCTCAATCCCAGAGATGATATTAAAAACAGACAACTCGCTTAGGTTCTTGCATTACCAGCGTTTTATTAACTTGACACAAGCCGGAGTCATTTGGGAAGAGGGAACCTCAATTGAAAAAAAAAAAGAAACTGCATCCACCAGATTGGCCTATTGGCAAGCATCTCCTTAATGACTGATATGAGAAGGTCCATCTTACTGTTGTCAGTGCTATGCCTAGGCAGGTGGTCCTGGGTGGCACAAGAAAGTACACTGAGCAAGCCTTGGGGAGCAAGACAGTAATGGGGAACCGTGGCTTCTGCTTCAGTTCCTGCCTCCTCCTTCCTGTCCTGACTTTAGTGATGGAGGGTGACCCGGGAGTTACAAACTGAAATAAACTTTCCCTCTCCAAGGCTCTATGGTGGCTGTTGGCCTTAGGGTTAGATTAAGTTCTCAACTCTCTGTTCTGTTTGAGATTATGTGAAGACGGTATTTGACGCTGACTTCTGGCCTCTACATGCAAACGCATACATGTGTACACACCTGTACACACACAGAGAGTTAACATTTCCGGAGCTTTGTCATGGTGCTGATGTTCTCAGCCTTGCACTTTGCCAAACACCTGTTCTGTGCAGAAGGAGGAGGGGGCAGAAGGAGCAATGTGGAAGGACAGTGTGGTCGCATAGGACGCTGTGGAGCCTGTCCGGTTCCTGTGAGGGGAGAGCACGTCCCTCTTCAGCTTGCTTCACTGAAAAGCTATCAATCATTCCTTTCCCTTCTGGTCCCCAACAGTGCCCATGTGGATGGATAATGCCTCTCTGATTCCCTGGGTTTTCTCCACTGTGGCTATTGCAACCTGGTGACAGCTGGAATTCCCCCGGGTCCTAGATATTTCACTGTCTCTTTGTGTCTGGGAGAGAATGAGGTCACAGGAGCTGAGTTCCTTCCTTTCCCCACATTTGCTAAGCATGGCTTTATTTTTAATTTCTCGGGTAAATCAATCATTCTGTGTCTCTGTCCCTCTCTGTGGCCCTACCCTCGTCTGCCTGTCACATCCCTCACTGCTTCTAAACCAATGTAAATCTTGAGCAAAGTGTCTCTGCGTAGCAGTTGGTCGGTATTGGCTTATTTCAGGGCAGTGCTCTCATGCCGCTGTCTATTTGTCCCTGTTATCTGAACCACAGGAGCCACTGTGGCACATTCTCTTTCCCAAGCCTGCCCTTTCTCTGTCCTATAATTTCTTAAGGCTACCCTACATCACTTTAAAAAAAAATCCTTCTCTCTACACTCCCTGCTTTGATTAGGTAGAGGTGGGTTCTGTTTTCTTGCAAGGAACATGTATCAGTTTGACATATTTATCTATCGGTTATCATGTTTGGCTGCCAAGGGACAGAAAAACCCAGATCTCTGAGGGGTAGGGAAAAGGTGTGAAAAATCCAGTAGGTTGGACTTTAGGGAT